AGGGGAGCTAGGATTTAGAGGAGCTGGGATTTAGGGGAGCTGGATTTAGAGGAGCTGGGATTTAGGGTAGTTAGGATTCAGGGGAGCTAGGATTCAGGGGAGCTAGGATTTAGGGGAGCTAAGATTTAGAGGAGCTAGGATTTAGGGGAGCTAGGATTTAGAGGAGCTAGGATTTAGGGGAGCTAGGATTCAGGGGAGCTAGGATTCAGGGGAGCTAGGATTTAGGGGAGCTAGGATTTAGAGGAGCTGGGATTTAAGGGAGCTAGGATTTAGGGGAGCTAGGATTTAGAAGAATTAGGATTTAGAAGAGTTAGGGTTTAGGGTAGCTAGGATTCAGAGGAGCTAGGATTTAGGGTAGTTAGGATTTAGGGGAGCTATGATTTAGGGGAGCTATGATTCAGGGGAGCTAGGATTCAGGGGAGATAGGATTTAGAGGAGCTAGGATTTAGGGGAGCTAGGATTTAGAGGAGCTAGGATTTAAGGGATCTAGGATTTAGGAGAACTAGGATTTAGAGGAGCTAGGATTTAGGGAAGCAAGGATTTAGAGGAGCTAGGATTTAGAAGAATTAGGATTTAGAGGAGTTAGGATTTAGGGGAGCTAGGATTTAGGGGAGCTAGGATTTAAGGGGGCTAGGGTATTGGGAAGCTCACCAGGCCAGGAATGAGGTCCAGATGAACATGGCAGAGACCCAGCCCCAATAGCTGGGCTGTGCCCTCCTCTGGGCTCCTTCAGTTCCCTGGGCCTACCACAAGCATCACACTTACCATCTTGTGCTAAAAAGGTCAAATGATGCCTCTGTGAGCCTCATGGATGGTGAGTTCCCAGGAGCCAGCACCATGTCTTAATTACCCGTGTGCCTCTGGTGCCTTGTAGAGTGCTCGGTGCAAGGTAAATGCTCAGGAAGCCTGTACTGAATGAACAGGGGAATGGGTGTGGCGTCACCTGCATGTTGAACTAGAGCTGCTTGCTGAGACCAGCCTGGCCCGGAGCCTGGGCCTGCCGGCAAGCTGTGGGGCTGAGAGCCAGGCAGGCGCCGGGATCCGTGTTTCTCTGGCTGGGTTTCTCTGGATGATCATCATGATCTTTCGAGGGATGGGGGCACAAGAAGGGGATCAATGGGGTTTAATCAATAATTAGATAAAAATAAATTCACATGTGTGTTTAGGGGGTTTGGCAAATGAGTGCAGCTTGCTCTAGTGTTTGATTCAATTCAAGTTGTCTTTCCCTAGAGGGCAATTTTCATACATGTTGCCACCCGGAAGAGTAATGTCACTTACGCCTCTTCCACAGCCCTGCACAGGGCTCAGTGATGCAACAAGAAGAAAGGAGCAAACCCCCTCAGAAGCTACTTAATTCTTCGTCGTTAAATGCACCCGGATTCTCCCTACTCACCCCTCAGTCACCGATGAGAACCTCCCAGGCTGGCCATGTCTATGCTAGCATCAGTTCCCTCACTTCTCTCATCTCCCCTGAGTCTCTTCGCCAGCGCTCTCAGGATCTGCCTTTGGCCCCTCTGGAGACACATTTAACCAGTTTTCTTTAGTACATTGACCTCAGCTCTCTACGTGACTCTTGGCTTTACAAGTTCCCTCACCTTTACCACCCCACAGCCCCAGGTAAGAGATGCTCTAGGCCAGGTGCGGTGGTTCATACTTATAATCTCAGCACTTTGGGAGGCCAAGGTGGGCGAATCACCTGAGGTCAGGAGTTCGTGACCAGTTTGGCCAACATGGTAAAACTCTGTACTAAAAATACAAAAAAATTAGCCAGGCATAGTGGTGGGCTCCTGTAATCCTAGCTACTTGGGAGGCTGAAGCAGGAGAATAGCTTGAACCTGGCAGGTGGAAGTTGCAGTGAGTTGAGATCACGCCACTGCGCTCCAGCCTGGGTGAAAAGAGTGAAACTCTGTCTCAAATAAAAATTTAAAAAAATAAAATAAAATAAAATTTAAAAAAAAAGATGCTCTGTCTCCAGCCCAGGCCCAAACCCCTACCAAGAGAAGAAGATTCAAACTTCCTGGGCTAATCTTCACATGGACTCAGCTCTGAGGTCCTAATGACCTCTGGGGCAGAACGTTCAAGGGAAGGAGGGAAACCAGATGTAAAAGAGTCAATGGCCAGGCTGACCCCACCGGATGCCAATCAGCAGTCAGTATCTCCAGGTTCTGAAAGACTTGGCTCAATCTGAGTCATTGCCATGTTTGGTGGGTGGGGCCCAGCATTTGGCATCTCCAGGCAGGAATCAAGTTCAGATGGCTTCATGGGGCTGGACACAAAGGTTCAGCTGAAGCAGATTATGGATTCTCAGCCAAGAGGACAGCAGCAGAGCACAACCCCCAGGAAGGGGCCGGCAAAGCTGAGGCAACTTGGTTGGGCCTCAGTGCTACTCAGAGGGCTTAGAATAGCAAGGGAAGTGTAGACCAGACCCACATTCCGTGCCACAGGAGGGGAGAAGCCTGTGGTGGGGAGGGAGGTTTGCAGGGCCTTCCGCAGAATGAGACTGGGTTAGACTGAGACTGGGATATACTGGAACTATTGCACGGGAAAGCCCTGGTCAAACAGGATCACTATTCCAGTCTCTGTCTCAATGCTCCAGCCCACTGGTCATTCGGGTGACACAGAGGCAAGTCCCTAACCCTAGTCCTAACTCTTCCAGTTCACATTTGCTGGGAGATTTCATTCTGTTTGAGTGTCCAGTGTAAGTTTCTGGTTTTGTTTTGTTTTTTTTTTTAGTTAGACAGGGTCTCATTCTGCTGCCCAGGCTGGAGTGCAGTGGTGTGATCCTAGCTCATTGCAGCCTTGACCTCCTGGGCTCAAGCGATCCTTCCACCTAAGCCTCTGAAGTAGCTGGGACCACAGGCATGCACCACCACACGCAGCTACTGGCTTCCCTTTTGGACCTTGTAAGCTACCTCCCTTTTACCCTAAGAGCGGAAGAACTCTAAATCAAGTTTTCTTATGAGGAGACGTGTTAGAGTGGAATAAGGAAGACCCAATGTGTCAGGAAAGCACAGCCGAGATTAGCCACCTGCCCCATCAGCCTATCTCCTCTTATTCTTGGGAGAAACTGGCCAAATTTCCCAGCCTTTTTGCAGTGAGATATGGCCTTGCGATTATGTTCCAGCCAAAGGAATGTGAGTGGGAGAGATGGGGGCTATTCCCAGGACTAACCCAAGGAGCCCTCCCATCTGAGACGTTCCACTCTCCATGGACCCCGTGTGAAGTACAGTCCCCCAACAAGGCCAGTCCCAAGAGGCTACTGTGCCACTCAGTTTGATTGTTTCGGTGATGGATGGGAATTTGAAGCTGTCAGAGATGGAGAGGAGGCTATTAGAGGAGGGAATTGCAACTGCAGAGCACCTTCCAGCAGGGAAGCTGAGAGAGACAGGCGTGAAATCATCGCCATACTCTGTTTGAGTTCCATCCAAAGAGGGTAAAGGGAACCAGCTAAGTAAGGAGGCCTCAGGAGCCCTGTTTGGCAGGAGCAGGGAGAGCCTCTGCTGGCTGGCAGTGTTGGCTTTATCTCACACGGCAGGTGCCCTGTGATGGTTGGTTGTGGGAAGAGTAACGGGTTCCCCTGGGTCTTGGGAGGCCCTGGCAAGCATGTGCCATGCTTATCTTCTTTAAGTTCATGGTGAACTTAAAGAAGATAAGATCCTTCCACGACACATTTGCTCAGAATTTTCACTTGTCATTGGCTGTATTGAAATAGCCAGAGATTTACAATGATCTGTTCAGACTGTTATGTTTTGTTCCTGAAATGGAGGTACCGGGAAGTTCATATGATAAAAACTGGATATAAGTTTTCCAAAGAAACAACATAATAGGATTATGATTCTAGCCAAGGTCTGATACACTATGATAAAAAGGATCAGAAATTGCGTAGTAATCAGTGTGCCAACGATAAAAGCTATCTCTACCCTGCACAGAGTAAAGCTTTCCAAGGTGTCTACAAATCAGTCAAGTAGGACAACACAGGAATCAATCATGTGAGATCTCTAAAAATGGTATGTAAGAGGTTCTCTTGGGGCTTATCTGAGGGCAGTCACCCAGATACTGCAGTTCGTTGGGATGTAAAGAGCCAGGGCATTCTAAGTGTGAGTCGTCTAGGTCACACGTATTGAGCCGTGTCTGTTTGAGTTTGGCTGGACAGCAAAGCCTGTGGGATTCTGGGTCTTTATGAAATGTTCCACCCTAATCAAAGGGCTTTAGAACATTGGGCCCCCAGCGGTCAAATAGGCTCCTCGGCACACGTGACGTTCTCTTCATGTTCTCTGGGCCTTGACGTGGGGAGTGTCTGAGCCAGCACCTCACCATGGGCCAGACCCAGAATCACGGGAGGCCAAACTCAGAGGCCTAAGACCATTTTAAAATTCCCCGCGACCCCACCCTCCCCACACAACACTGTATCCATAAAACTGAAAAAAAAGCAGGACCCTTGTAAAGAAAATGAAACCCAAATGATATCAACTTGGAGAACAGAGACAGGTGGCTTCTTCTTTCTGTCTGTTGTGAATATTCCTTTTCCCCCAAACTCTGATGGAACAGCAGTGGGCTCTATGCTGCTTGCCCTGGTACAGATGGGTTTTGCTCTGAAGGGGGATTAGGAAAAGTGTGTCTGGCATTCTTCAATTAAGAACGTCCTATGACTTACCTGGAACAAAGTTACACCACAGCAATACCAACACTGCAACACTGCTTCAACCTAGTTCTCTTGCAGGTGCAAAAGCTTCTTGCAAGAATATGAGAATCATTATTCAGACCGGGCATGGTGGCTCTGGGAGGCCGAAGTGGGAAGATCCCTTGAGCTCAGGAGTTTGAGACCAGCCTGGGCAACATAGTGAGACCTTGTCTCCCCCAAAATTTTTAAAAATTAGCTGGGAGTGGGGTGATGCATGCTTGTGGTCCCAGCTACACAGGATGCTGAGGCAGGAGAATTTCTTGAGCCCAGGAGTTCAATACTGCAATAAGCCATGATCATAACACTGCATTCCAGGCTGGGAGGAAGAGCAAGAACCTGTCTCTTCATAAGTAAATAATCATTATTCAGGATCGCCACATGGATTTCCCCAGTCCCCCCAGAACATATTGATAAAACAATGGTGTACAATGTTTGAAAACATAAATAGTAAACGCTGTGAGAAGGCACAAGCCCAGAGCTGTGGGTCTGTAGTTAAAATTCTGCCCAAGTGATAATACCATGTGTACATACATAGATAATTTTTTGCTTTATAAAGTGGTTTTGCATTGAGACACTGATTTCTCTTAGACCTTCTTTCCTAATAGATAGGCCAGTGGCTCATGTGCTATGCTTGGCTAGAAGGCAGCTCATTTAACAACTGCTCAGCCAAGCAAGGGAAGCTCTGCTGCAGGTCCAGGAGGCCCCCAAGCCAAAACTAGCAGAAGGAGGTGGTGCCCATTTTCACGGGGCTGGTGGATGTTGAGGTGGAGTCAGTTGTTTTCGCTGTAATTCCCTTGGAGAAAGGGCATTCCTACCACGAAGCCATCAGATCTGGGAGGGCTGAATTAAACGGTCCAAGGAAACTGAAAAGTTCCAGCCCCTCATTTATAAGTGGGGAAAGTGAGGCCTGGGAAGCTGGTGACCACCCCCAACTCCCTCTCCTTCCCCTGATGCAGTGGCAGACACATTCTCCTCTGGCTGCGGTGGAGTAAGACCCACAGCTGTCACCAGGGTCGGAGCTGGGAAATCACCGCCGAGGAAATGCATCAGAAGTGCTGCAGGTGGCTCCAGAGGTGCCAGCAGCCTCCAGGAAGGATAGGCCCAAGCAGGCACGTGAAACGGGAGGGTGAGGTGATCAGTAGCGGCCTGTGTGGAGATGTCATTCACATGCAATTTGCATTAGTTCCTGTACTTCTGTGCTGTCTGTCCTCAGATGTCCATGCTGGCCTTTTCTGTGCAACTAGCAGCTGAAATGAGAGGGAAGAGGGAAGTGAATGCCCAGTGATAAGAGGAAAGAGAAATCAATTTCACCAATCCAGATCCCCAGTGATTTTTTATCCCATGGGGTGACATGTTCCCCTGACTGGCTACTTTAGCACAAACTATGGCTACCCTCAGAATGGCCTTTTCTTTAGCATTCTTCTTTATTTGCCCCAAAAGCTTCTTATCTTTAGCTTCTGTCCCACCTCTCTTCCAGGATGATAGAAGAACAAGGAAAGTAGACTTTTTAGGTGGGCAGGGCTCAGGGGGTGGTTGTGGGACAGGGACAGTGTGAGGTCAGAGGCATCAGAAACCATCCTGCTGAGATTGGCTACCCCACCTCATACAGAGTATCCCAGGTTAAGTCAAACAGTGCATGCACGTTGAACCAGAGCGACTTCAGGGCATCCACCAACCCAAGGTGGCTTCCGGTCCGAGTGGGGTCCATTCGCATGAGGAGTGCACAGCAGAGGACATGGGCTGTGCGCTCAGAGGAGGAGGTGGCTGTCCCTGGAGGATGTCCCGCTGAGTAAGTAGGTGAGTCCTGCTGCAGAAGGAGCCTCTGCTTCTGCCATGTGCCTTGCACTTCAGCCGTAGCAGGCTATGGTCCCCCTCAGTGTGGACTTTCCTCCTGTTGCAAGAGGGAGGCCTGGTGGGACTCTGAAACCTGGCCTGAGCCCCTCATCTCAGTGGCCAAAACCCCCCAGGCCTGAAGCTGTGGTGACACTCTGGACCACCATGTGGGTCCTGGGCATTGTGACCTCAGCTGTTCTGTACACAAAGGGGTGGTCACCCTGCCCTCACCTTGACCTGTATGTTGCCTAGGACAGTGGCCTGGTCCCGGGGGCTATTGTGGGGAGTTGAAGAACACCCAGGCCTCCTCCATCATGTCGGCCAAGAGGGCAGAACTGAAGAAAACACATCTGGTAAAAGAGACATGGCTGGACAGTGTGGGTCCTCTCTGAGCTCCTACTGAATGGAGATGGTGGCAGGGCAGGGGATACAGAGAACGCTCCCATGAATCTCTGTTGTGTTTTTTTTTTTTTTTTTTTCTTTTCTCTGTTCTGAGCATAAAGCAGCCTCTCTGTCTGGACGGGGTGTGAGATTAATACCTGGCCCTGGGGTGGGAAGGACAGAGGCCTCTGCTGCCTCCCTCTGGGGACGAGGAGCACTGCCGAGGGAGCACTCATGGTTCCACGGCCCAGGCCAGGCCTGCCAGGCCCGCATCTAACTAGCAAGGCTAAGGCTCAGAATAACCTTATTAGATAAGTATGATCATCACCTCGATTTTATAGATGAGGAAATGGGGGCTCAGAGAGGCTAAGCAACTCACCCAAAATGACAGAGCTAGTAGAGCGGTCAGCTGAGATTAGAGCGCAAATCTGCCTGTGGCCAAAGCCCTTGCTCTGGAAACAACACTCTGGGGCTTGCTTCTAGTTATCCTAAAGTGCTGTCTCCACGCTGGCCCCTCCAGCAGGGACAGGGCTGCCTGCGAAACAGGCAGACACACACCCATAGGAAGAGGACAGCACCACAAGATGTGAGTTGTCAGGAATCGGATCCGGGTGCTGCGGGGTCTGTGAGCCTGAGCTCAAGCCAGTTGGGTAGGCAGGGTTGCATGGTGGGGTGGGGGGGCCGGGGAGGGGGGCGGGGCTGCAGGGTTCCCGTGCAAGGGCCAGATGTTCTCCTCCCCAGTCCTGATGTCTGCCAGGCTGAATCCCAGTCTCCTCTTTTGGCAGAGCAAGAACTACAAGGCAGTTTGCCTGGAATTGAAGCCAGAGCCAACCAAAGTAAGAAGCTCTTTTGAGGCCATGCCAGCAGCGAGGCCTGAGATCCATGGGGAAGTGACCTGGAGTCAGGGGTCATTTGCTGATCCTAGTGGCCAAGACCTGTGCCAGGTGCGGCACTGAGAGTTCTTGCTCTCATAAAACTTCACACTGTAACCAATCAGATGCATAAATGAACAGGACTCATTCAGCAGTATCACCTGCTCTTCTGGGAATGAAGACAGGAGACGTGGCTAGTGGCTGCCGTAAAGTGGGTGGTAGGGAAAAGCCTTCCTTTGAGCTGAGAGCTGAAGGACAAGACGCTGGCCTTGCAAAGGCAGAGTAAGAGCCTTCTAGGCAGAGGAGGCAGCATGCACTGAGGCCCAAGGTGGGAATGAGCCTGGCTGTTCCAGGGACAAAAGGAGCCGAGGCCCTGTGGGCCAGCAGGGGAGTGGAACCAGATGAGCTGAAAGAGGGAGGAGGAGAGAGGAACCTTCTGCACAGGTGGGGCCCCCAGCTTTCCCCTTGCCCTAGCCGTGAGGGAGGAACAGAAACACGGGGGATCTCTTCTGCCTCTGCACTTCCACCCCCTCTGCAATTCCCAACAGTCTGTGTTCCTGTTTCAATCCGCAGACATTTGATTACAAAGCAGTTAAACAAGAAGGGCGGTTTACCAAAGCAGGAGTGACACAGGACCTAAAGGTGAGTGCGTGAACTCGGAGGCATGTCTATACTCCGAACCACTTGAGAGTAAGTTTTCTCCAAGTCCTCAGTGCCTATTTCCTAAATACAAGAATGGCCTCTTATGTAGGCACAGTGCAATTACTGAAATGTGGAAGTTAACGCAGAGACAACACTCATCTATAGCCTTTGTTCTCATTTCACCAGTTGTCCCACACATGTATTTCCTAACAACAGAAAGGAGACTTTTTCTGGTCCAGGGTCTGATCCAGGATCACACGTTGCCTCTAATTACCAGGTGTCTTTTCTATAATCTGGAACAGAACAGTTCTTTGTCTTTGGGAACACTGACATTTATTTATTTTTATTTTATTTTTTGAGACAGGGTCTCCCTCTGTCACCCAGGCTGTAGTGCAGTGGTGCGATCTCGGCTCACTGCAACCTCTGCCTCCCAGGTTCAAGCAGTTCTCCTGCCTCAGCCTCCCGACTTTCTGGGACTATAGGCACACGCCACCACGCCCGGCTGATTTTTGTATTTTTAGTAGACATGGGGTTTCACCATGTTGGTTTCGAACTCCTGACCTCAGCTGATCTGTCGGCCTTGGCCTCCCGAAGTGCTGGGATTACAGGTTTGAGCCACCACACCTGGTCTAGGGACATTGACATTTTTACAGATTACAGATCACTTACATTGTGGGATAACACTCAATTTGGCTTTGTCTATTGGATTCCTCATGATGAGATTCAGGTTGTGCATTTTTTGGCAGAGACATGATGCCTGTAGGTCCCACTGTCTTATAGTCTTTTTAAAACATTAATTAATTAATTAATTTTGAGATGTGGGGGGGTCTCGCAATGTTGCCCAGGCTGGTCTCAAACTCCTTGTTTCGAGGGATCCCCCAGCCTTGGCCTCCCAAAGTGGTGGGATTACAGGTGTCAGCCAGTGCACCTGGTCTATCCTATTGTCTCAACAACATCCTTTGTTTCCTCCCTGTCGGAAGCTTTTCTCTGACAATGCCCCAGGATCTTTTCTTTCCTCCTGTTGACAGTTTCCCCTCCATCCTAGATCTTTCTTTCCTCCTCCTCTTCTCCATTTTATTTCCTCAGAATGAACTCAGGGAAGTGAGAGAAGAGCTCAAGGAGAAAATGGAGGAGATAAAACAGGTAATGAGATGAGGCCTTCCATATCACGGAAGAAAAGTGTAGCTTCAGGAAAAATGCAATCCTTAACTTTGAGTAGTGAAGGAAAGCAGGAATTGCATGGAAAAATGTAACTCAGTCCTAATACCCAGAGAGCTTCAGTGTTAGGTTATTCACTTCTTACTTGTTTGATGCCTAAATCCAATTTTTGAGTGACTGAGGACTCCCTAAAGTGTCTCTTTGATAAGGGTGGGTGATGTCTCCTTAGTGATGAAGCTGAGTGAGAGGGGCTGATTTGGAATGTGAAATTAGGGGCAGTCAGGGATCAACCCCGTCTTCCTTATTCGCCTCCCCTGAGCAAGTTGCAAAGCAGGAACCCTCTCATTTCTATGATACAACCAACACCTGTAGCATCCTTAGGAAAAAAGGGAATAATCAAGCAAGAAAGTGTAATTGAAGCTGTGGTCTGAGCTCCACATGCAGCCTTGCGGTAGCCAGATCTAAGCCGTGCCAAGGCTGGTGGCAGTGCTGACTTGATGGTGCTTGCACCCTAGTCCCTTCACAGATTCGTTGAGAAGAAAGTGACTCTAACAGGCCATTATTAGTCCATGCTAGAGGAGCAGCTGCTGCCCTTTGCTTAAAATGCTCCAAAGACGCCACAACTAACCTCAATAACATGCTCTGTGCTTTGTCAAGCCATGCCTTTCTTCCTTGTTAGATAAAGGATCTAATGGACAAGGATTTTGATAAACTTCATGAATTTGTGGAAATTATGAAGGTAAGCATTACTTGAGTGCCTTCCATGGACCAGTCATACTGGAAACTGTGGAAGAGATACCAGCAGACCCTGTCCTCTAGGAGCTTATTACCTGCTAGTAGTCCCAAATTCCATTGCAAGACAGAATTGCAAGCCAAATACTTAATTGGTTGTTTGCTAGTTAGGGGCTTAGAGGCGTGAGAAGTGAATGAGAGTTGGAGTAAGCAGCGAAGTCCTTATAGAGAAAGTAAGTCTCAAGTTAAGCCTTGAAGACTGCATCAGAAGCTTAATGCAAATCTCATCAAGAGCCCAATAAGATTCTTTTTTAACTCAAAAAATTACTAGGATGATCTAGATTCTAGAGCAGTGATTCACAACATGTGGTGTGTTTCAGGATCGCCTGGAACACTAATAAAACAGAGCCTGGACTCATGTTCAGATGGTGCTGGGCCCTTGTATTTTAGACAAGTTCCCAGGGGAAAGATTGAGAAGCACTGATGTAGAGGCATGAACTGGCAAAAGCAAATAGCTACCCATTGTTCAAGAGCTGTAAGGGGACACTAGCCTTACCAGATATCAAAATTCACTATAAAAACAAAGTTATTAAATCAGTCCAAGGATAACCAAACACATGAATGAAATGGAATAGATAATGCCTCAACAGCCTCTCTGCCTGGGATGTAATGAGAATCAGTTGTGAGAATTTTAAAACTCTATTTACTGACACCCTTTTCCAGAGGAACTGAATAAACATCTCCAGGGTGGGCCGGAGTTGCTTAAAACTCCATTTTGATTCAGATGCTTGCCCGTGGATGAGATCCAGGTCCTAAACACTTTAGCAGCAGTTCCTAACCTTGGCTACACGTTAGAATCACCTGGAAAGCCTTTCCCCTACGCCCTCCCCATGTCCAGGCTACACCTCATAACAATTAAGTCAGAAGCTCTTAGAACGAAGTCCAGGCGCCAGTGGTTTTTAGTTGCCCAGATGATTCCAGTGTATACTCAAGACTGAGAACCACAGCTCTATAGAATTTACAATATGATAAAGGTGATTTTTTGATGTCAGTGAGAAGGAAAGGATTAGGTAGTAATATTAGAAACATTGTTTGACTATATGAAGAAAACCCTTAAGCCAGGTAACACTGTAAAGTTAAATAGTCTATGAAGTGATTTTAAATAATAAAAACCAATAAGAAGAAATTTTAAGTAAATATGTAAATGGAAGTTCTAAATATAAATACAATGGAAGCAATTACAAAGGAAATATTGATATATTTAGCTATGTAAGATTTTTTAAAAGAATTATGACACAAAAATCATTTATATTTACAGAATTAAAAAACAGTTTGGGGGAACATTTTTCCACAAATGTAAGCACAGAAAAAAGGTTTTTATCCATAACATGTGAAGTTCACATAAATCAATAAGAACTAAGTAGGAAAATAGACAAGAGTGTGAACAGACAATCCACAGAAGAGAATATAACTAAAAAGCAATAAACATATTAATGAAGGCCTGACATCATAATTAAATACATGCAAACGAACAATTATTGTTACACTCAAATAAGCAAAATTTTAATTTATGACAATTATAGTACAAGACATAAATGCTCTTATGCTGTTAGAGTGCAAATTTGTACAAAACTGGAACATAGTTAGACAATAGATATAAAAAAACCAATCTCTTGATTTATCAATTTCACTTCTCAGAATTTAACCTAAGAGAATAATCAGAAACGCCATCATGGGTATACATGAAAAGACGTTCATCACAGGATTATTTGTAATAATAAAAATTTGGAAACAACCTCAATTTTCAACAGTAGGGGAATAGCCAAATAAATTATGAAATATTTATATAATAAAATTTAGGAACTATTAAAGAAAATGTTTAGAAAGAATATTTATAATGAGAACTAAAAAAACAAGATGCAAGTAATATACATAGGCTGATCTCAGCTAGGTAAAAAAAAAAAAAAAAAGAAGTAAATATACAGAAAAAAGACTGGAAAAAAATATACCAAAGGGGTTCATAGCAGTTATTTCTGGATGAGAATATTTTTATATCCCTATGTGTTGTCCAAATTTTCTACAAAGGGCATGCATTAATTATTTCTCTGTTAAAATCCAAACAAAGTAAGTGTTTTGTCGATGGGGAGGCTGGGTATGGAAAGGCATAAAGGAGGCGATTTCAGGCAGGGGAACAGCTTGAGCAGGGCAGGAGGCAGGAGGAGCTATTGTATATGGTGGTCAGCACGGGGATCAGTCATGAAGTGGGACCACTGGGGGAAACTGAGGGGGAAAAAAATGAATGGGCACAAAGGCTGTAGGTAATGACGGCTTTTGAAAGACACGCAGACAAGCTAGGACTTGGTTCTGTGAGCAGCAAGAGGCCTCTAGAGAGTCTTAATCAAAGAACATGCTGGGAGCAGCACTTCAAAAAGCTTAGCCCAGCAGGTGTTTGTTCACAAGGCTGCCTGGGCGGGGCCCGGGGAGCAGGTGGAGATGCCTGGCAGTAGGAAGACCAGAGCTGGACCAGGTGTAGGGAAAGAAGGAAAAGATAAATCTGAAAGATGCACTGAAGGAAAAATAACAGTTCCTGGTGACCGATTCAGTACAGAGACTGAAGTCTCGAGAGGCAAGCACCCGTGATGACACCAAATTTTAATCTGGATGATTAGAAGAAAGTGGTGACAATGACAATGCCAGTGGGGAGATAGAGCTAGCCTGGGAAAATGAAATCGGTTTGGAACATGATGATTTTGAAGGGGTACATGTTGGTGAAACATGTAAGAATATGGGACATTTTGACTCTGATGTTTTGGACCTAGGGGACATTGACTTCAAGGATATTTTGACTCTATGAATACAAATATTTTATTCAAATTTGTATCAACATTTAAAAATGCTTTTCAAGAAGGCATTTTATGAAATCATTTCTATGCAGACAGTGTAATTTATTGATCAATTTTCTATAGTACATCAATTAAACTGTTACCAAATCTTTCATTTTTAATGAAAATTATTTTATTGGAATAAATTCCTTTTATTTCTATTTTATGACAACTCAAACCTGTTTTTATCTGTAACAAATATTGTCAATTGTGGCTTCTACCATCTTAGAATGTCCACTATTTCCATTCGATTTACCCAGGTCGAATTTTACAGATCAAAACTTTGTCAAGATTGTATTATTCTTTCTGTTCTGAGTGAATAATACATGCGATGTATCCGTTTAGCTGCTGTCAGTTTTACTTGTTGTTGACCATCTTTGCCAGGAATTAGGTAAAAGATGAAGCAAACACAAATACGTAGGATCTGAGTGCATGGCAAGGGTCAAAACTTTGCAAAGTGTCTTTGGGGGTCACAAGATTGATCTTCTTGGTCCCATCATTTTATAGGCATCAAACCAAGACAAGCATTGGTTTTATCCAAAGTGTGAGATCAGGTAAAACAGTAGCTGGCCTCTGGCTCACCTAGAGACTTTGGAAAAGTCCCCTAATGTCTCTGCCTGTGCTTTCGTCTCATTGGGGAATGGGGATGAGGAAGGGGAGAAGCTGTACATGTCACGGACCCTCCAAAAGCCACCTCACCCAAGTCTAGTGAGGATTCTTGAGGAAGTAAGACGCAGAATGGTTTGCAGAGAGGCGGGAGGAAGGTATTTCCAAAGCCCTTCAAAATGCAGACGCTAGTTCTGAATTCTCTCTTGAAGGAAATGCAGAAAGATATGGATGAGAAGATGGACATTTTAATAAATACACAGAAGAACTATAAGCTGTAAGTGTAACCTGCACTCGTCTCTCCTCATCCCTAAAGGGTCTCCTCCCTTCCCTTTGTTGAATCCCTTTTGGGTTCAGAGGACACCCAGACTCTTGGAGGAGTTGTCTTGGCTCCTACTGCCCCTGTGACTTGGAGTCAAGGCCTTCCACGGCCACCTGTGTACTGGTTATCTCCTTGTCATGTTGGAAAATGTCTCCCCAACTCTCCGCCCCTCCCCGGCCCTCCTCCCCCAGCCCCCTTAGAAGAGCACCAAAGGAACAGCAGGAACTCAGGCTGATGGGAAAGACTCACAGAGAACCACAGCTCAGGCCCAAGAAAATGGATGGAGCCGGTGGAGCCAATGGAGCACCCTGTGCTCTTCACAAGAAGACGATGGCACCACAAAAAAAACAGGGCTCACTGGATCCCCTTCATGAGTGCGGGCCCTGCTGTGTAAGTGAAGCCCTGCCCGAGCCCAGCACTGGTGCCAGGCCCCTGGCTCCTGCTCCCTGGTGACTTCCCCGAGCTTGTGCTGTATCATAGTGAAAGGACTTCTGGGTGCGCCCGAGCCTGCGCCCTCCCTGACCTGTCTTGCCTTCTAGGCCAGTGGCGCCTCCTTAGCTGTGACCGTGCAGGACTTGCCCCTGGATGCGCCTGCCCGCCGGCTCCACCCTCTTATTCTGTCCTTCCCTTTAGCAAGGGCAGATGAGGCTCCTCGCAGGCTGCCCTCCTTGGACCAGGGGAAACTGATCTTTCTTGTGCCGTTTCTGTCCTCTGCAGGAGAAATGTTTGTTGTGTGCTCTAAAGAACAACGACAATCAGGGGTAGGTAGATCCATACGAGATGTGCCTTGTCTCAGTCGGGTGCCTTGTTTTCCCCAAGGCCATGTGCTCCCAGCCGCATTCACATCACACCCCTCCTGAGGCTGTGCAGGGAGTAGGGACTGTTAGCAGACGCTGCCACCCAGCACACTCAGTCGTAGAGGATGTGGCACCAGGAAGGAGGACTTGGGTCGCCCAGCCTAGAGGCTGCTGCCTGGGGCTCCCACGGTGGGGAGGGTGCACCACCAGCGGCGGAACTGACCTTGCCTCAGGTCCTGCCCTTTCTCCCCATCCAGCGGGAAATATTCACACCAAGTCTGGGCACCCTTTTCACCCTTGGCTTCTGGAGCTGCCTTCTGATTTATCTGTACCTCAACCCCAGTGACATCGAATATGTTTCCAACCTAGCGCAGCCGCAGAACCTACCAGCAGGTCCAGTTCCTCACCTCCCCGCTCCTTAAGCTGCACAGTCAGGGCTTCTTGTCCTCTTAAATAGCACCCCGACCCCAGGCCTCCATTGGAGATTAAAAGCCTTCATTCAAAGCCAAAGGGGATGTCATGGTTTTGAGTTCCAATCCAAAACTCGAGTGTGTGGAGGTCGATTCTTTTTGGTTCTATATCAGTGTATTTCAGACTCCAACACTTCCCCCTGCTTCCTGATGGATTGGTGGGAAATTCCATCTTAGTCATCTTAGGGTCCTCCCAACCACCAGCTCCCTCCATTCTACCTGGGTCTGCAAAGGTCCCAGGTTAGAGCATGGGGAGGGCCCCTGAGGATAGCAGACATCAGTCTGTGTGGTCTCAGGAGAGACCCTGCTGCCTGGCCCGCCCGCTCGCTCCCTCCACATAATCAGCTTCCACCTGTGCATGGGGCCCGGGTGTCTTGGGTGATGCAGGGAACCCCTGGGCCTTGAGTTCTGCCTACACCACACCCCTCTGAGGTCTTGTCACCAAGCAGGACTCAGGTCCCTGCTGCTCATAGGAACTGGGTGGCTTTCTTGGGTTCTGGAGATCACCCTTCTTACCCCCTTGAAGGTTTCCTCTCCCTCCCTCCACCCCTAAAGGGAACCTTCCTTCAGAGGCCTCAGGCCTTTACAAAGGTGGAGAGGAGCCAGTGACCACCCAACCTTCTGTGGGCCACGCTGCGCCTGCTCCAAAGTCCCAGACTGAGGGAAGGTGAAGCTTAACTGCCAGCTTGAAATGAGAGTAAAGAAGATACAGAGCAAACAGTGTTTCAGAAACTGTCCTGCCCTCGGTGTGATTCTTTGGCTTCAATTTGAAGGAGGAGGAATTATGGGATTTCATATTTTATTTCACACCAGTTCCTCCTTGTTTCATCTCTTCGCTAAGCTGGCTGCTTCTACCATCTAATAAATAACTGGCCAAGTTCTTTTTTTTTTGGAATTTTATTATTATGGTTAATTTTGTGGGTTCATAGTAAGTGTGTATATTTATGGGGTACATGAAATATTTTGACAAAGGCATGCAAGGTGAAATAAGCATGCCATGAAGAATGGGGTATCCATCCCTTCAAGCATTTATCCTTTGAGTTACAAACAATCTAATTACTCTCTAAGTTATTTGAAATGTACAGTTATTGACTGTAGTCACCCTGTAGTGCTATTAAATAGTAGGTCTTATTTATTCTATCTTTTGTTCCCCTTAACCATCCCTACCTTGCCCCCAAGCCCCCCACTACCCTTCTCAGCCTCTGGTAGCCATCCTTCTACTCTTTGTATCCAGGAGTTTCATTGTTTTCATTTTCAGATCCCACAGATAAGTGAGAACATGTGATGTTTGTCTTTCTGTGCCTGGCTTATTTCACTAAACATAATGATCTCCAGTTCCATCCACATTGTTGCAAATGACAGGAGTTCATTCTTTTTATGGCTGAATAGTCCTCCATTCTGTGTGTGTATGATATCTTCCTCATTCATCTGTTGATGGCCACTTAGGTTGCTTCCGAATCTTGGCTATTGTGAAAGGTGATGCAACAAACATGGGAGTGCAGCTATCTCTTCAATATGCTGATTTTCTTTCTTGTAGGTATATACACAGCAGTGGGACTGCTGGATCTATGGTAGCTCAATTTTTAGTTTTTTGAGGAACAACCCCCAAACTGTTCTCCATAGTGGCCGTACATTCCCACCCACAGTGGACAAGTATTCCCTTTTCTCCAGGTCAAGTTCTTAGTGGCTGCAAATTGATGAGCAATGTATTTGGTGCTTCAAATAAACATTTAAAAAACAAAACTCAAAACACATGTAGGCCTTGTTTACAAGGAGCTTATAGCTTTAAAGGTGAGATGGCAAACATGCAGAATAACAATATGGACAGTGTAGAAATAAGTACAATAATCATAAGCATGTGATGAAAGCAGAAATGGATCAGAAATGGGGAAAAGGAGAAGGGTGGGCAGAGCTCTGTATTAGTTCCCTATTGCTGCTGTCACAGATCACCACAAATTTAATGGCTTCAGACAACAAGAAATGGGCCTAACATGGATATTAGGCTCAAATCAAGGTGACAGCACAACGGCATTCCTTCTGGAAGCTCTAGGGGAAAATCTGCTCCTGGCCTTTCCTGGCTTCTGGAGGCCACCTGCCTTCCTTGGCTGATGGTCCCTCCCATCTTCAAGGCCAACAATGGCCATGGGATCTTTCTCGTGCCTCATCACTCTGACACTGACTCTTCTGCCTCTTGCTTCCACGTTTAAGGACTCTTGTGATTACACTGAGCCCACCTGGATAATCTGAACTAATCTTTTTATTTTAAGGTTAACCAATTAGCAACCCTAATTCCCTTTGGCCATGTAACATAACATATTCACAGGTTCAGGGACTTAGAACATGGACATCTTTGCAGGATGTTACTCTGCCCATCAAAGGGGACTTCCCAGACCCTGTCCCTTGACTATCAAGCCTCCAAACACTTGGGAACACTGCACTATTCAGTTCTGTGCTGTGGTGGTTTTAAACTAGGCCCACAAATTATTTAATACTGCTTTTATACTCTTTCCTTCAAGAGGAACTCAATTCCTCTCCTCTTAACTGTGGGCTAGACAGAGCAACTTGCTTCTAATGAATGGAACGTGGCAGAAGTGATGTGTATTACTTCTGAGGTTAAGTCATAGAAGACATGGTAGTTTCCATCTTGCTCTCTCTTGGACACTCATTCTGGGTGAAGCTGGCTGCCATGTTGTAAGGACGCCCAAGCAATCCTGTGAAGAAGGCTACATGGCAAGAAATTGAGGCCGCCTGCCAATAGCCATTTGAGTGAGCCATTTGACTTGGAAGTGAATCCTCCAGCCCCAGTAGAGCCTTCAGATGATGGCAACCCTGGCTAACCTCTTGCCTGCAACTGCCTGAGAAGATCCTGAGCCAGAACCGCTCAGTTAAGCTTCTCCTGGACACCTGGCCTGCAGCAGTTGTGAAATAATAAATGCTTGTTGTTTTTAAGTTGCTAAGTCTTGAGGTAATTTGTTACTCAGCAAGAAACAAGAATGTGTCTATCTCCTGTTCATTGTTTTAAAGACTTGAAACATTGAGATTTATGTGGTTATGTGCACAAATGTGCAACTTGATGAATTTTTATATACAGATACATGACTGGAATTGTTCTAGAACACTTCCAGCCCCTCTTCCCAGCTCACATCTGCCCCATATCCAGGTTACTATTATTCTAATCTCTACCATTATGTGTTATTTTGCCTGTTCTTAAAGTTGACATAAATAGAATCATACGTTATGTATTATTTTGCTCAAAATTGTACAACTCATGCATATTGTTTGTATATAGCAGTAATTCATTATTTTTTAACTGCCATGAAGTTTCTATCTTGTGTCTACCTCATAATCTATTTTTCTATTCTCCTGTTGGTAGTACAGATTGTTCTTTAAAATAATCTAAGTAAAAGTCATTTTCCCAGTTGTCCTCTGTCCATGCTTCCCTATATTTAAACGCTTACCTTAGTCTGCAGCACCTGGTGGGTTACGCTGCTTCCGCTTCACTGAGGAGTGTACGAAAGGGCCTGCCTGCCTCCCCATGCCCACTCTGCTTAGCCCTGAACGTCTGTCCTCTGCCTGCTTTTCTCTTGAAGCTGTTCCCCTAAAGGAAGCTGGTCACCTCCTGACAGCCAATTCTATTGACTCTTCTGCAGCTCTTGTTCTTCTGGTTGAGTTCCTGCTTTTGACCCTGGTGAGTAATCCATCTTCCTTGAATTCCCCAGCTTCCTTCACTCCTGTTCTTCTACCCGTAACTTCTTTTGTATCTCTCTTGGCTACTATTCCTCCATTGTCTTAGTAGTTTGGGTTACTAAATCAAAATATCATAAATGGAGTGGCTTAAAAACTACAGACATCTATTTCTCACAGTCCTGCAGGCTGTAAAGTTCAAGCTCAAGGCACTGACAGATTTGCTTTCTAATGCAGGCATTTCCTGGCTCACTGTGTCTTCACATGGTAGAAGGGGCAAGAGATCTCTCTTTTATAAGGGGCACTAATTCCATTCATGAGGGTGCTGCCATCATGACCCAATCCCCCACCTCTAATACCATCCATCCCCTTGGAGGTTAGGTTTCAGCATACAAGTTCTGAGGGACATAAACTTTCAGACAACAGCATCTGCCTCCATTCTCAATATGGATGACCCCTAGGGTTTTCCCTGAATTACTTGACATTTTTCTAGGGCCCTACTTCACTTGCTTCTTAGAGTTGGAGGGTAGAAATCGAGTCTGTCTCGCTCAACACAGCAACCCTAGAATTAACACACTGCTCAGTGAATGAGTATGTAGCACTTAGTATCAACCCTCAGGATCAGAAGGTCAGAGCCAAACTGACACAGGCCCTCCTGAAAGAGATCAAACTGGCTCTGGAATCTAGAGTCTAGATTAATTTATTAATGGGCAAAAAGACAAATGAGCTGGAACAAAAAAAAGTCCATGTGACTCCAAAACCCAAGCCCTGGTCTTGTTCTTCACGTTCAGGAACACTGACTTCACATTTCTTTCTTGATTGGGTGTCCATAATCATAACTTGACTGATGATCAAATGCCTCTCCCACCTCCTTTCTCATCAGTATTCATATGGCAGCTTGTTATTCCTCCCAGATAAACTGGTTGAGAAGGCAATGTAAATTTGTTTAAGAGGTACAAATGTCAACTTTGCTCTAAAGCACCATGAACTTGGCTGACTGCAGTGTTTCATGCCTGTAATCCCAGCACTTTGCGAGGCTGAGGCAGGCGGATCACTTGAGGTCGGGAGTTTGAGACCAGCCTGACCAACATGGAGAAACCCCGTCTCTACTAAAAATACAAAAATTAGCTGGGCCTGGTGGTGGGCACCTGTAATCCCAGCTACTTGGGAGGCTGAGGCAGGAGAATCACGTGAACCCGGGAAGCGGAGGTTGCGGTGAGCCGAGATCGCACCACTGCACTGCAGCCTGGGTGACAGAGTGAGACTCTATCTAAAAAAAAAAAAAAAGAAAGAAAAAGGCATGACCTTGAACAGTGGCCTCAAATCATGGTCCCTGGCAGGCGACCCCAAGCCTTGGACTCAAACCCTGACCTGTCACCCAAGCTTGGATCTACCTGTTGTTTCAGGGCCTCATCATCCTGTCAACTTCAACACAGCCAAAACCAAACTCCCTCATGTCCCCAAACCCTTCTCTTGCCTGATTTGCTGACGGGAGTTCTTGTCCTTGCCCAGTTCTCTGATCGCTAGAGCACAGGCTGATTTCCGGCTAAAGGCTGGACCTCACCCCCCACAGGGCTTTCACCAGCCTGTCTGTTTGCCTGTCCACTTGGTGCCCTGGACTAGATATCCCTGGAGGAAACCTGGAGTGCTGTGGAGCTCAGAGTCCCCTGCCCTGAGCAGTTGGTCCCAGAGCTCCTTTGGTTATTTTGAGGATTTCTGAGAATATAGTTAAAGTGCCTGTTACAAAGTTTCCTTGATGGCTTCCTCCATGACGTATCTTTGATGGCTTCTTAGGGCCTTTCCTGAAGAGCTGAGGATGAAAAAAGAGAATGTGAGTCCCTTAAGGGCAGAGACTGTGCAGAATCCATCGATGACGCCCCACCCCTGCCACCTGATGGCTGCGTGGCTGTGGAGAGCATGCCCTTTTTCTGCCCTTGGTACCACGTTAGTCATTAGAGCTTCACATCTTCTCCATCGTCCACAGCAAATGAGCAACCAGGTCCCATGGAGCCTTTAACCATTTCCCATGTTTATTCCTGAATTCCCCCTCTCCCATACACACTCTAATCTTAGTGTCTGGGTCCTGATCTATGTCCAGTAGCTTCTGACCCAGTGCCCTCAGCTCCAGGAGTTTCTTCTCACAGCCTGGAATCCATTGTCCACGCCACTTCCAGAGATTTCCTCCTGAACTACTGCTTTACTCTGCAACTCACCCTCTTGCTCAAAAACCACCCCCAGGGCTGATTACTGATGGGAAAATAGACACACTCTTTAACCTGCCGTTTAAGGCCTTGCATTTCCTATATCATTTTTCGCCTTTTCTCCCCCTGTTCCTATCTGTAAACCCTATACTCTAGGCCAAATGTGCCCTTCACATTCCCACGTCCTTACCTTCACTCCCCTTCTTCTCTGAGCTCCAGGAATCTCCCATCATCCCCGCTGCACTGCCCTCTGCTCTAACATCTCCTCAGGGACCCAAGGACTAGGTCACTCGGCCGGGTAGAGGCGTTTCCCACCTTACTGTTCCAGCCCGCGTATGCCTTTCCTCTCCGTGCAGACTGTCAGTTTCTAGAGGCAGAGCTTATGCTGTCTTCACCTTCATCCTCAGCATGGAAGTCAGAACCCTGCACTTGGCAGGGGCTGAGGAAGTATTTTTTGGTTGAATTTTGCTGCCTAGCCTGAGGTATTCACGTGTTGGCCCTCCTGACCCACTCCTGCCCTCTTGGCTCTGTGGCCTTGGGACTGTGGACATCCCTGAGGGTCCCTGGGAGCCAACAGGGGTCTCCTGTCACATGGAGCCCTCCGGGACTGTGCAGGTTTGGGGGAAATCCCAAGAAAATTCTCCATACTATCCAGGGTCCATCCCAGATCATGTCTGGAAATATACATACGTCACCGTGTCTGTGCCAGGCTGGCGGACGGGATGAGCAAGGCTGCCTCCCAGCCTACAGAGGTGCCAGTTTTAAGAACAGAAGCAAGGTCATCAGGGAAACCGAGCTGCCACGATCTGCTGAGGCACTATCTTCTTTATGGAAATGATGATGCAGCTCTAGTTCAGTGCCGAGGACTGGTGGCAGTGGTCTCTGCTGTCCCCATCCCTTGACCTTTCCCAAGCTCCCTCATGCCCCACTCCCACATCACCCAACTCACAGGTGACAGGACAGCTGTGTGAGTTTCAGGGACAGGCTTGCCTGGCTGTCAAAAAGCTGTTTCCTGTGCCCCTGGGGAGAGACCTGCAGGGAGCCACCACCAGACATTCTTGCTGACACTGCGCACAGGCCAGCTTTACTGGCAAGCTTGTGCTTTTTTCGTAGGTCTCAATGTCACCTCCTCTGGAACAGAATGATACTTAACTTTGTCTCTTTTCCTAAAAATAAGATTCCTGTCCTGTGTACAGAGCCATGGGGGGCATCTCCTGACCCAGGCCCCTACTTCGTCTGTGCTCTAGGACCCTGCCCTCCTGGACAGAATCAGGAGCCGGTTGACTGGACCGGGGTGGATGCCCAACCCAGCTCGCCCAGTTGGATTCCTTTCCCTGGGGGTTTGGAAGTGGAATTTGGGGAGAGCTCAGTTGGCCCCAGAGCTGAAGATGTGTAACTGGGAGCTAGGTTGCCATCTGCCACCATTAGCTGAAGATGCAGAAAAAGCTGATCTCTTGGAAGAGAAAACCAGTTTGCAGAAAGAGAAGAATCAGGTGGAGGAGTGGAGAGAAAGGCCCTGCAGTCCGGAGAGGGGTCTGCAAGAGCCAAAACTCTCTGGGTCCCAGGCCCTCTTGGTCCAGTTGTAGCTCCCACCTTAGCTCTGAGGGACCCCCTGGCCTCTGGACTGTATCACCCAATCCTGTTTAGGCAGAGTGGGCTTCTGTTATCACCAAACAAGCCTTAACTAAGGCCACACAGAAGAAATCTTGGAGATGGTCCGATCAATCTCTTCCATTTACAGGTGAGGGGTTTGAGGTCCAGAGGCGTGTGGCGAGGCACCCTCCGCTGTGGGCAGGCCAGGACCACAGCCCAGGTTTTCTGGCTCCCGGCCCAGCACTTTGCTCCCTTTGCCCTGTGGCCCTCCGGGGCCAGCAGCTCTTTCAGAGACAATAGGTGAGATAGGAGGAGCTCAGAGGTCATGGCCAGCCAGATCCAGATACAAATTGGTGGATGCTGCAGACGAGTCACTTAGCCTCTCTGAGACTCAGCCTTTTCCTCCAGAATGTGGGGGTGATAACATCTAAATAGGAGTGTTGTGAGAATTAAATGAGTATCTATGGAGGAA